CTTACGTGAAAGGTTCATCGCTACTACAGGTATGCCCAGAGTTCCAATGATAGACGCCCCGTAAGGAGGCCAGAGGGACAAGTCCCGAAGGATCTCCTGAAGATTGGCAACGACATACTTGCTCGCAAGTTTGAAGATCTGCCAACTTCGAACGGACGTCGGTGCATCACCAACTTGAACGCTGCGGTCTATGCAATCGCTCGCGCGATAGCAGCCACGGCTGACGAGTTGAGGCTAGAGCGGATCACCGACGATCCCAAACGTCGTCTTAAGGAACTCGAGGACCAAAGGCGTGGCAAGATCAGCGCCATTTCGGTGCTAACGAACGAGGTCCTCAGGCGTAAGGCCATGCGGCAGCGAAAGGAAGGGGCCATGCGAAGACCCAGCAAGAAGTTCCTCCAATTAGCTGCCGTATACAAGATCAAACGTCGCGGAGAGTTGGGGCGTGTCCTGAGGCAACTCAAGGACCAACTCAATGTGACGCAGCTCGAGATTAGGAAGTTAGAGGAAGACAGGCGACGAAAGCTACTACGTCGTAAAGGTGCTTCCTACGTGGTTCATGAGCGCTCCGAAGCGTCCGACGGAGGTGCCTGTGTCCAGTGTTCGTGAATACTGGAAACCTATCGTCGGTGAAGTGCACCCATTCGAAGTAAGCCCTGAGCTTGAAGAATGGTCGGAGAAGCTAGGATCCCGTCACGAAAATGCTCCTCTTAGGTCTAGTGAGCTGACCGAGGAAGCCTGGAGGACATTGTTCTCCAAGGTGAAACCTTGGAAAGCCACTGGTCCTGACGGTATTCAGGGATTTTGGTGGAAACACCTACCTGAAGCGAGGTTGCAGCTGAAGAGGTGGTGTTTACGCGCCATGCGGCAGCCTAGAGACTCAATCCCGACTTGGCTTTGTCAGGGAAGGGTTGTTCTCATACCAAAGAGGAAGGGGAACCCTAGTCCGCTGGAACCCGCCGACTTCCGCCCTATAGCATGTTTGAATACATGCTACAAGATTTTGACTGGCATGATGGCTGTGCACATCTCTGCCGCCGTAGGAGACCGGTTTCCCGGTAGTCAAGTTGCCCTACGGAAAGGAGTGTGGGGGTGCACGCATGCCCAGATTATAGATCAAACCGTTGTCAAGGATGCGGAGAGATCTAAGCAAGAACTGCACATGCTGTGGGTTGACATGACAAAGGCATTCGATTCCCTGCGACATGGTGCCATTAAGTGGGCTGTGAAGCAGCTGGGGCGTGCCATCTGACGTCCGGCGCCTATTGTCGACCCTTATGTCTCTGCAGTCTGTGCGGTACTGTGGTTATTCGAACGGGCGGCAAGTCAGGAGTCGTCGGCTTCAGATCAGAAATGGTCTGATGCAAGGGTGACACGTTAAGCCCGTTGCTATTCTGTCTGACCATAGCGCCGATCTCGGCGTGGATCCAGGCTAACATCAAGCCGTACCAGACGAAAACCGGTTCAGGGCCTCGCTCTGACGGTGCCTTACAGGCCAGCCATGTGTTCTACATGGACGACCTTAAGGTGTGGACGCCAGACTGGGAAAACTTGATGAAGGCTCGTAAGGGGAATCCAGCGAGTCGCCGGGCATGCTCGGGCTGAAGTTGAACATGAGCAAGTGCGCGATTACGATCTCTCAACTCCGAAGACACGGGGCAAGATCGAATAGCTGAGGTTGGGGGAATACCCATCCTAGGAGGCTCTCAGATCTATAAATATCTGGGCGCTGAGCAAACCGGGCTAGTATGCTTCGAAGATTATGGTCAGAGTTGCCGAAACAGCAACATCGGCTGCGAGGCGGTTGTTCTTTAGTAACCTTACGGTTCGCCAAAAGGTAAACGGGTACAATCAAATCGTGTTCCGAAGCTCAAGTACGCATTCTCTTGTATCATATTCGGAGCCGGTAAATTCAAAACGCTCAGCATGCGTGCACGGAAGTTTGATGAAGAGATGCGCAGACTGCTCGAAGAATCTCGAACGAGGTTCGGACACAGCTGCGTCGCACGCCTCTATGTCGGGAGGAATCTTGGGGGACTAGGACTTAAAAAGGTCGAAGAGGAGTTGCATCTGAGTATAACATATACTTGGAGCTATCTCGCCTCTAACGCGGACCTCCTAGTCTCGTACGAGCTGGCCGAACGCCTACGTGCAAGGACGAAAAGATCATGAACCTCCAACTTCAAGGCTGTAATGGCTGCTAATGAGTTGGAGGGTGTGTCGCTCGCACGATAATGGCTACCATTGTAGTAGATGCACAGACGTTCTATACCGCTACCGATGCGGCTCGAGCTATCTCGAAACTGATTCATGAACGGTGGGCACGTCTTCACTGGGATGAGTGGAAAAGTAGAGAGACAGCCGCGCGTGTGCTGCAGGAGTGCGGGCGAGATGGAGCCCCGACCGGACTATGCTTGAAGGATTCGTTCCTTTGGTCCGCGAATGGTTGGGTGTCATCAGAAGGCTAAGGAACGTCTGGGCTGCACAGGAAGCATCACTCTTAACCAGAAGTAGCGCCGCTATGCGTGCGCTGAGGCCCACAACAGGGGGTCTCTTTAGAATGCACTGCGGCCCTTACCGTGAGACAGCGGAGCACATCGTGTCATCTTGTGCTCATTGGCGAACAACCTTAATGGTTGAAGCGTCATGACGAAGTAGTAAGGGCCTTGTATTACTCGATCCGTGCTAAATATGGGATCACCGCTGTAGTGAACACCCACCGTCCCCACGTGGTGGAGACGAGCGAGGTGGTTGATTCACTGGAATGATAGCATTGTCACGAGCGAAGGACTAAAGCACAATCGCCCTGACCTTTTGGTCTGGGACAGGCGTGCTGAACGGATTTGGATCATCGAGATTTCGGTCTCATGGTACACCCGTGTCCTAGCTCAGGAACGCCGTAAGCTCGGGAAGTATGCTGTGAACAGCACTCTACCTGAGGAGACTGGACCAGATGGGTTCCATCCAGGCCCAAATCTCCGCGCAGTCCTTCAGAAGGACAGAAAGAGCCGGGTAGACGTTATCCCCATTGTCTTAGGAGCCTGCGGCGAAGTCACGCCGAACCTAAGACAATACGTTACGAGCCTTGCAACTGCGAGACGATCCGACTGACGTGATCGAGAGAATGCAACGCAGTGCTGTCCTTGGAACGAATAGGCTGATCAAATGCCACCTGGTCGGCCCGATGAGTGATGCTTAATAGTGAGGGTATAGGCCATGGAGTCGTAGTAGCAGAGTCACCAGGTGCACAGAATGCGGATGTGCTGGCCAGTACGCCCTGGTTGAGCCGTGCACAAGCCAAACTACTACAAGGACTCGACATGTTTAAAGTTAACTCGGGACGGCAGCATGCAGCCTCTGCGTTGAAAATCCAAAAACATTGAAAAATAAAAAGACCTAAAAATAATAAAATTCAAAACACAAAAAAAGAAACGCCAAGAGCGTTTGTATATAGATGTGCAGTTCAATATTTGTTAAGTGCGTAAGCACTTGTATATATAATGTATATGTATAATGTGTATGTGAGGATACGTAAGCACCTAGACATAGTTGTACATAAGTGTATATAACTGTACATAGTTGTAAATATAGTAGTTCGTAGCCGTAGAACTAGTTTGCCCTAGTCGCAAGTACGTGTCTTTTTGTATGATACTATTGTTTTTGGGAATTCCGGCGTGTTCTACGTACGGGATACTTCTGATGCATACTATGTATGCAATTAAAATAAACGCAGAGTGTTGTCATAATCCCGGCTCGGTGTAAGACGTCGGACGTCCGATGCTAAGTCCAATCTCGTAGTGTTCAGATAAGAACAGAAACATCAGATAGAGTAAGGTAGTAAGTGGGGCCACTTGGTCCTGGGGCGGTAAGCTAGAACACTACGAGGGCTTGATGGACGAGGTGTCACCTAGGAAAGTGAACGTGATGAGTACTAGGACAGTGACGGAGTACGCAGTAACAACCAATGTTCGATGACCCCAGATGGCGAGTCTGTGGCGAGAACGAAGGCGACCGGGTAAAAGCCAGGCCGGAAGGCCGAAGAGTGGCGAACGGCAGAGCAAGGTCCTCTGAAGCATTGCACTTCCGGAGCTTCAGAGAGCGGTCCAAGTAGCTGCTACAGGAGTTTCGATGGCACTCCTGGAGTCGTGCTCCCGGGGGGAGCCGGCCATTCGCATGCTTCGCAGCATGTGACCTAGGCTGGTTTGTTAAAACCTATTCTGACAGGGAACTCGCCTGAAAGAGTACTCCCTATGACTCGTGGATGGTTCGTCCTGAAGCGAAGAAAGGGAGGCGCGTTGCGTACCGGTCCTTGGATGATCCGGCGTCCAGGACGTAAATCTCTATGGTTGTTTACGATCAGATACCATCCGACCATAGAGACGGTACAAGTGAGGAGGGATAGTGGCTGACGCGCATGAATGGATTAACGAGATTCCCACTGTCCCTAACTACTATCTAGCGAAACCACAGCCAAGGGAACGGGCTTGGTAAAAATAGCGGGGAAAGAAGACCCTGTTGAGCTTGACTCTAGTTTGACATTGTGAAGAGTC